TACACAGTCAAACATGTCCGAACTTTCGGATATTTCGGCGGTGAAATAAGAAATGTGTTGAAGCATTTTCTTACTCTTTGATTAAGACGCGCTTGAGTAGGTAAATGTATGAAATATTAAAACACAAAAATTTTTAACTGTATCAAAGGCCTTGAAAGAAGAAAAAAAGGATTATTGTAACGCGTTAAATGTGCATTTCTGACTGCTTGGATAATCAAATAATAAACTGCAAAGTGATGCCATAGGCTGAACTCTAATAATTCTTTATTTCTATTCGATCATCTTTCGATTAGAGATTACTTGCGTTGAATGATTTGAGATTTATGATCGTTGGAAGAATTTTAGATGCATTAAATTGTAGTCTAAAGTCGATTCACCAGTTGTATGATGTACATATAAGAAAAACGATCCATAAGCCACTTTCGCTGTCCCTATTATTTCCTTCTGTTCTTCAGTCTCAACTAAAATAGTACAATGAGTCAGTGTTGGCATTGGCTAAAACAAAACTAAGTCATAAATAGGACCTTGTTCAACCAGATTCACCGCATCAGCTCATAGGTTATCCAGAGCCCCCGAGATGCTGTTGGTTGATTATTTTCGACGATAGTGCCATCAATCTGAGGGCTGGTCGCTCTAGGCCAAGGACTTCCATTTATATAAATAACGGTTTTGAAAAGCGTATCGAAATTCATCGTGGTCGGTGTCACAACTTTTCAAGTAAAACACAGTATACAACAAGTAATTTTGGCCAAGATGTGCTTGAGCAGAGCGATTGCATCATTCATCGACAATTTCGGTTCTTGCTTGAACTTTTTTTAGTAAGCATACATGCCCATTTTCACTCTCATGAGTCACCATCGTTTCATCTGACACATACAGAAATCAACCCATTTTAGACGAGCAATCTCTATTTTTTTTGTTATTCTTCTAGTTACATTTGCTTATCGATGCTTCAAATAGCACAAAAAATAAACGTGTTATAAGTCACTTTTGAAATCTTTTAGTACATATAAAGAGTGAATGTGACTATTTTGAACACACTATCTCTTATCAGTATTCTAATATTTGATTTATATAGTTGTGAACGAACTACTAGCGTCATAGAATATGCTCGTTTCAATAAAACAATCAGTGTACTTGTGACGAAGTTCGTCATATCATTTTTAATTGTTGTACTTGTACTCACTGTAATTCATTGTTCATATTACGACGAACATTGTTGAGGTGTCCTTAAATTTTGTTACCATTGACTGGAAACTTACACAACTAGTTTAGATCTTTTCAATGCCATTCCTTCATCTTTTATTAATCCTATTTCGGTGTTTATTCTATTACTATCGTTGTCGAGCATGAAGCAACGCAAAGATCTAATTATCAGTCCAATGCTCATGATCGCTTTCAAAGTTTCTCTTATTATTGCCACATTGATGATCAAATGTGTCAAATCCAATAGGCAATTCTATCTCAAACTTATCACCTATTTTTTTTATCCTTCGCAACACTTAAAGCTACTTTTGTTACTTTTTTAATATTTGCACCATCTCTTATATAAAAATTTTCGTAAAAAATCCAAAAACGTTTTGACATACCAAAAGTCTTGAATCTAATTGACTAATAAATGACAAATCATTGTTTCCTGCTTTTATCTTTTTGTTATATATTCATTTTAAAAAGTGTTATGTATTCGTTCACCACAAGACTTTAGTGTAGATAAGTGTGTGGGTGATTGTATAGGTGAATATCCACACTCTACTGGTCATAAAAGGTGATCTTTTTTGACCAGTACTATGTTCGTAATGTGAATAGTATATATTTCAGTCTACTAAAGTTTTGATGCAACGATTTATACTGTTCGAATTTTTTATCATGAACCTTTTGATAACAATACATAAAATATTTATACAATTTACCACTTCTTGAGAAGGATGTATTGTAAGATGCAGTTTTACAAAACTTTTAAGCATCTATTATTCTACACGATTCAAGAATGCATGACGTAGGCCATTAGTTGTAGGTATCTTCAAAGCTTTTCTTTCATTCGAGTGTTGCTCGAATGCATGAAGAAAATAAACGAATTGACGGCTGTATTATTTTTCTTATCACGTGTAGAATAAAAACGATGTACGCTTCATACAAGAAGAAGCTTTTTCCTTATTTATGTGTTATTGTTTTGCTTGTTCTCTTTTTCGATACCTTGAGGCAATGGTATCCACAGTATAAAGTATATTTTATAACGGGGTCGTACGTCTCTTCTATTCAACGTTTATCAACAGCATTTTTATTTCTTCTTTCCGTATTTAGAATACATCTTCGTAAATAAATGAATTCAAACGTTCAAAAAATAGATACAGATGAATTTGCAACGTATTATCGGAATTCACTTTGTAATCTACAGTTGACTAACAATGACCTATTGGGAGAGATACTGCAGAAAAATCACTCCTGTGCTTTCTTCAAGGATAGATCTATTTTATTCTTGTCGACACATTCTCCTTCTTCTCGAGAAGAAGAAAAATATGCATCAATCGATGAGTTTCGGGAAAAAGTTCCATTGACAACATACAGTGACTATTGCAATTATATTGATCGAATAATTTTCGACGGAGAAAAGAATCTACTCTGTTCCGAAAATATTGCTTATTATGCTACAAGTTCTGGAACGACGGGACAAATGAAGCACCTTCCTTTGACTGCAACAACAATGAGAAATCTTGGCTTGTCGATACGTCTTGGTAGTGCTGCGATCTGGAGATCATTGCCTTCTTCATCATTTCCTTCTCCTGAACAACGATCATTCAGCTTACGAAGTGGGAAAAAATCTGCGCTGTTTCCAAAAGCGAAAGATGGTACACCAATTGCCCGTTTACCCTAAGTTTTTCAGCGATTTCATCAATTCCAGAAATTCGAACATTATTGCCCAAAACCAATACCATATCATTGGATCTAATTGAAGGGATCAATCATTTCGAGACCAGTATATTCGTTCAACTCGTTTTTGCACTGGCAACACCGAACATTTACTCTTATTCTGTTAATTATGCACCAGGATTTATTCATACTGTTAAAATAATCGAAAATTATTTTGAAGAGATAAGTCTTTGCATTTCATTTGCAAATTTCGATCATAGTTCACTTGTTAGAAACAATATATCTGATTCAGAATTCTTAGCGACCTTAAATCAAACATTGAACGAGCTGACTCTCAAGTATGGAGGAGAGATATATCAATTGGAACGAGCGAAAAATATTAGAAATGAATGTCTTAAGAAGAACGTGCCAGGCATTCTAAATCGTCTTTGGCCAACTTTAATTTATGCTTCTACCGCGATAGGAAGTACATTTTCAATGTACAAAGAAGAAGTTAAGTTTTACTGTGGAGATCGGTTACCTCTAGTTAGCATGACCATTTACATTGCCAGTGAAGGATTATTTGGATCACTCGCAGGTATACACACCGATGAATATTTTCTATTACCAACATTGGCATTCTTCGAATTCATTAAGGAAGAAGATGTTGAACAAGTAAGACACCAGAAATTTGAATATCTAGTCAAATTTTCATTTGCTATTTTTTATGCGTGGTTTGAAAAACGGGTGTGAGTGTGGATCTTTTCTAACGAATATATATATACTCAAACGGAATCACTTTGTATAATCAGAGTTTTATAGACGAAAATATGTTCTTTAGTAGTATGATAATATAACTGAGTTTAGTGCGATCAAGTCTATGAACTTTTCTTTTTGTAGTCAACGATAATTTTGAAGTTAAAAATCTAATATTTTCAAGATGATGAGGACCTCTTTTATAATCAGAACAAAACTATTAGTCAAATGGTGTCTTTTTCTTCTCAAAAATCTTTTCTGGTATCATAGGAAAGATTTCATTGTAATCACTGTTTTACTGAGTCCAAGCTTCATATTTCTGTGTAAATGTAGTGTTTCAAGTACAAAAAACTCAGTTCCCGTGTAACTTTCACATTCTTTAATCAATGACATAAAGTATTTTTCCTTTTAAAAAAGATGCCATATTTTCTCAAGGTTGATGGATATGTTTACTACCTATCGATCGTTGTTTTTCAAATATGCCTCTAACTCCGAGATGTGTTTTGTTGGAGAATATTGTGGTAACTTAGAAAATGAAGCATGGAACCTTGTGAGTATTGCTATTGGAATAAAAATTTCTCTTCTACTTTGATATGTGAATGAGATCACAATAGTAACGAGCTAACTGAAGTTCTAATCGAGATACAAATATGTTTTCCGATCGATACAAACAGACTAAACATGTTTGAGAAGGTTTTATTACAAATTCGTCTTTTGGAAATTTCTCGATTTACATCTCTGAATAAAGACTTTTGCTGAAATACTTTCATCGGCCTGTGCGCATCATATCATCAATCGTTCTGCAGCAAATTAAAGACGAAACTTTCCTCTATACGAAGTTATTCATATTACTTTTCTGTTTTTGAAAATTAAGATCATCGTCAAAATCGCATAAAGTAACCAATCAAACAGGCTCCTTATTGACCAATGACTTGTGAAGAAAAAAACGAGTAGAACGTTTACTAATTTCTGGAGAAATGTTTGCTCTTGTTTTTTTTAGTTTAATTGAAATAATTTTTTCATACATCCAAGTTTTATCTCGAAACTCAATTTTTAGGCCACTTACAGATCAATAGATAACTCCAGAATCAGAAGTCATAAAAAAAATGTAAACGTATTTTTCAAAGTCGGAGGAAACTCTATCCCAGAATAATTTTTTTCAAACGATTAGAGTTCAAAACTACAAGCACATTTTGTCTCAAAGCATTCGACCCATTTGTAATTTTCGATTCAGTTTTGCAGGCCAAATTAAAAAATGCAATTGAAAGATTATGTGTCATTTTATTACAAGCGTCTCATGAAGTTTTCTGAAGTGATAAACTCGACTTAAAATTGAATCTTTGAATTATGCTTTTGCCGTTCTAATTTTTGTTCAGGCTCAACCGAAAACTCTTCTCATGTCAGAGATCGAACCAGGACATCGATATGAACTGGTGTGTACGACTACAGCCGGACTTGTTCGATATCGAATGGGAGATATAATCAACTGCACACGATTTCTTTGTCGAGCTGATGATTTGGTTCCATTACCCGAAGAACCAGTCGAGATCCCTCGAATTCCTCTTATTTCTCTTTCATATCGTGCTGCAAATCTCTTGAATGTGATCGCTGAAAAAACAACTGAACAACATGTTATGTATGCCCTTCAACAAACCATACAGAAGTGGAAAGGACAAGGAATAGAAATTGACTTATGTGATTTTACATCGTATTCAAAGCTAGATGAATTTCCACCCAAATACGTCATCTTTCTGGAGTTGATTGAAGAAAAAGGATACAAGCTCGATTTACAACAACTTCGATTTCTTCAAAATACAGTCAGCTCTGAAGTCGAAGAACATCTTTGCAAAGCAAACGGAATCTATCACCATTTTCGAAATGCAAAGAGTCTTGATCCACTTTCCTGTATTCTTGTTCGAACTGGAACTTTCTCAACTTATTTGACAAATGTTCTATTGACCGATCGCGTGAGTCCTTTACAAGTCAAACCTCATCGACTATTGAAAGACAATATTCACATACGATTCTTTTATGATAATCAAATCGATGCAGAATCATCCTAATCATGACTCTTTAAGTATCGATTTGAATGCTTGTAACGCTTGTAGTTGAATTCCTATTGTGACATTACCTATTTCCATCGAAGAGATTATTTACACTTCTGGGTAAAAGTCTTTCTTCTTTTTTTTTCTGTATTGTATGTTCAATATCGAGTTCGTTATCAATCTCTAAGCAGGAACGAGGATTTTATTTTGTATACTCTATCACTGGTCACTATGTGATTCATTCGAAGTTTCGCAGGCATTATCATACTATCGACCAATACAAGAACGCATTTTTATTTGTGTGTGCCATTTTAAGAATTGTTTCAATATTTCTCGCGTTCTACCGACTAGACACTCTCTATCAATCATACATATGTTCCGCTTAACCCGATTGAACATATAAAATCGATAGTACCGATAAAAGCACAACAAATATAGAAATGATTCTTTAAATGAAACGCGCAGATAAAACTTAATAGACGATTATACCAACAGACATACTTATTGCATTGGTCGATGGTATGATAATGCCTGTGAAACCTTGAATAAATCACATAGTGATCAGTGATAGAGTATACAAGAGAGGAAGAAAGACTTTTGCTCAGGGGTGTATATGCGTCATACTCTTTCCTTGTCTTTTCATATGTATGTTTCTTACTTTCGTATTAATCTTAGTTTCCTTTCCCTTCTGTCATTACTTTAGTGTCTTCCCGTTTTTTCTTTCATTCATATCCGTACTCTTGTCCTCAATTTAATTGCTTGCCTTTTTGAGTGTTCCCTGTTCTCTTTCATTGTGTGACAATGTGAAATAAAGCTGAAAGATGCTGTGCGTGTGATTGATGATTCTATAATAAGAAACAATAAAGCGTAATTTCATCTACACTATATCAAAAACCATTGTCTCATGCTGCAACCGTACAAATAAGATGTACTTTCTATATTCGTTTTTCTTTGTTCCTTCTACGTATATAAACTCTCTTCATTGTTCGTCCATAGGATACCCTATTGATAGAACGGGAAACCATCTGATACAAAATGAAATTGATGATTATAATCAAAGTAATTTTAATTAGGTGATAAATCTGGAAGTAGAAAATACAACAAACAAGGAAGGTAATGTAGATAATTATAGATATCCATATCGTCACACTCTCAAAAGGAGAAACGATCATAGCGAATGTGAAGTTATATCACAGATTGCGTTTACACCTAAACGTCAAAATATGGAACAGACTGACAATGACACAAATGGTTCGAACGAAATCCAAGGAAAAACAACAATTTCCTCATATTTCAACAACCGTCGAGTACTTTGGGGTGTGCGTGTGAATGTTTTCATCTTTACGATGAAACCAACACCCACCCACGCCCTGAACTGCTTGTTTCAATTTTCCAGACGTAGTCTCTTGCATCAAAACGTACTTCGGATCCGTATTTTTAAAATTGCACAGATAATCAATGATTCTGAATAGGAAAACCCGAATCGAGCGGTTGCTTATGGACAAAGAGCAATAGCAGTCTGATTTGAGTGTATGAATCATAGAAGAGAGTAGAGAACTGAGAAGAAAATTCTTTTATTAATAGAAGAACTCGATTGCATATAGAACAAGGATAAAAAGACGGCGAGCATTGAAATAAGGTAAGTTGGCGATGTCAACATTACCTTTTATTGATCTGATGCAACATATACACACCACTTTTTCTCATAAAATGAATCTAGATAAATAACGCAACTTATGCATCATGCATATGCGCAGCAACGAGTCAATTCTCTTTCTTACGATTATCGATCGTAAATCTAGCAAAGAAATCATTTCAGTGACTATTTCTCAATGCAGTCATTTTCGATGAATCTGGTGGTGTTTCGTGAAACTCTCTACATTCAAATAAAATCATGTCAAGAATTAGAGATAAAGGTACAAAACAATGTCTTATTATAACAGCGTCATGCCGTCTGGGCAGAAAATCAAAACATAACAGATAGAAGAACATAGCGTGTACGCAATACGAAAATAACATCGTACAGGAATGTTAGCACAAATGTTTGGGCTTTATTTGCTTTTGTATCTTGTTTGATCGAATAAGAGTATCACTTCGTTATTTCTATCTGAAATTCTTTAGATCAAAATCGTAACGATGATCAATATTGTGAAAGCAATCTAGTCAGTAACAACAATACATCGAGATAAACAAATAAAACATTGAATAACTTTCATTGTAACGAAAATAAAACAACTTGGTGCAAGAATTTTGATAGTAAAGTAATAGAAAATGAACATATATAAATCGCCAGTGGAAAAATATTACTTAAAACATGTTGTCTCTTTCAATGCCTTGATCAAATGCACAGGGTAGATATGTCAGCTTCTTCGAAACAGCATCGATTTCTTCTCTTGAGCAACGAAAATCAGCAAAAATAGAAATGCAAAGAAGATGTGTCATAGACTGTATTGTAAGTGAATCGCTTTATTCCAAGGGAAACCAAAGGATATCGAAACAGCAGGCATCAATGAGAATGATCATGCCTAGCCACAAATGAGTATGCGGTGAACATTGTTTCAGTAGAGTGTTACCTAACAAGCGAATTGAGCATATGGTTCAGTGTAGTTATAATCGAAACCATGCAGATTAAAGATGAACTCATGAATTAAACTTCAGTATATGTCCACTGAAGTGCTGTGAACATGATAGAAAATCAGCTATTTTTCTAACGGACAAAGATCGTGTGAAAGAATTAGTAACTATTGAAGAATTATTGCACTAATTGAAGAAAAACGTTTCTAATGTGTGTTTGTTTTATTTTAATAACTTCTTATTAACAATAAAAGCATTGACTTACACTAGATTTGTAAGGATAAATAAAAATAAAGTCCTGAAAAAATACTACAGTAATTGATAAAAAAAAAACGATTTTGATAGTTTCGATACATACACTAACCAAGGCGACCACAAGTTTCACGATGAATTTTGACTATCGAGAGGGATACATAAGCGTCTGCAGAGGGCGACTTTCTTTATCTCATGGTTTATATATTATTAAATTCTCTTGTGTTCAAATAAATAACTATGCCAAATTTGGCTTCGATCCACACGCTTTTGATTTTAGTATAGGAAGAATTGGCTTACGAATGTCTTGATTTTCAGACCTACATCTATTCTGATTTGTAATCAAATTCTTGTAGTAGCCTTTCATATGTTCCTATTATATAGCAAGTACTTCTAAATTGAAATTCATTTTTTTGACAGAAGGCTATATTATTGAGTCTATAGAATAAATAAAACTAAAGTGAAACTTGTTTCATCAATATCTATTGTTTTGTTAAATTAGTCGAAAGCCAGATCAAACAACTGAAATCAAATAAATTTTTGTTCAAGATTATTTACAAATTTTTATATTGATACTCAACGATTTTGACCTGAACAATATTTTATTATTGTTACTCGAGAAAATCACACAAAATTCATACATTTTTGGTTTCTTGAACAAAGAAAGAAGAGATTTTATACAAAATCTAGATTGAGACATACAAGAATAAGATCGATCGTCAAATAATTTAAAGTGATTTTAACCATTTTTCTATAATCGACAAAGCAATTTTCGATGGTAATAGTATTGTTTGTTGTAGTTCCGTTTGAATTCTATCTAAAATAGTTGGAATACATTGTGGTGCAGTTTTCAACGCTTGAATAAAACCTTCCAGGCTAAGTAAATCTTTGCCGACGATACTAACAATTGTCATCCAGTCGAATGGAGGTAAATTACAAACACCATTCTTAATATAACATTCGGGATGAGAATCGAAAGCCATTTTTCGTAAAGTTAAACAATCTTTTTCGCAGTTTTTCAAGGGGGAAACCAGAGCCTTTTGCAAACAATTCATAGTATTCCAAATCCATGTTTGTCCATGAGAACTGAATGATTTTAATCTATTGGAAAATTTTATACAATTCTTCATTCCATAACTGTATGCATATCCATTTGGACCACACGGAGCTTTCGCTTCTAAACAACTTAGATAAAATGCACAACTTTGCATCGGTGGATTCATACATGTATCACGGCACATCGGGTCCGACGTGCATTTGACACATTCCTTTTCACAATCAGTGCATTGATTCGATCCATATTTTCGAATATTGACTGAAGATTGATAAAGACCATCGGCAACATTGGATACGCCGACATCGAATCGAATTCGTTCCGGAACAGAATCTACTTTTAACGTTAAATTACTCCAACCTGTTGCACCAGTAGCGAAATTAAAGGCTCCAAGACCGAGTCCATTCATACTGTCAGTTTTGGTGATGTACTGCCCTTTGTCTGATCGTAATGTCACGCTAAAATAGTCATTGAATTGTGAGCCGAAATAACCTCCAGGTACTTCCGAGGTAATAAATTGATATTCCACATAGGCCTCGCTTGCATTTGATCCAGTCATAAATGTTCGTGATATAGTTTGTAACGTTTGACCAAGTGTTGTTACTTGGAGATATTCTCGATTTTCTAATTTGTTCACTTTTTTCTCCTCATTGAATGGAATAAGAGTGAGATTTATTTGAGAGTTTGATGGTGCCACTCCGGCCAAACCGATTTGATTATCTTTTGTATGAGCAAAAATAGAGATAGTCAAAGGTGGCACATGATCAAAGATAACCATTCCATGATCATTGGTCACGCCACTTTGACTAACACGAGGATCATCCGTTATATTGAGATTGACTATGACACCGACAGCAGCACTGCCATTGGCAAAGGAGACATGAACAGGCATTGAAATCGATCCAAAATATAATTGAAATGATGTGAAAATAGGTAAGCCATATGTATCCAAAGCGAATAAGCTGAGAAATGTCGCACCATCGGAAAATCCACTCAATGTTATAGAATCATTTGTATGAGTCGTATTCACTGTCGGTTGTCCATTAATAAAAACGGTATAATTATCCGCGTCCAGTATTGAGCATTGCATTTTTATTGTTATATTCATTCCTGCATTGTTGAATGTATATTCATCGGCGTCAGAAAGGTTCACAATAATCGGTGAGATTTTATCATTGGCAAGGTTAGGTATGCATTGATCTTGAGTGACAGTTGCTGAAAAATAGAATGGTACAATCTCTTTTCATGCAGAGCTTTGTAGAAAAACTGTTCTTGTCAATTGGAGTAGTTCTACCTTCAATCGGCTGAAAACAAGTTTTTCAGATACATACGCTTTGATGAAGTACGCCGGTAGATTGGAATGAGACCGAGTATCACTACCACAACCGCAACAACCGATGCGGCACCAAGACCGATGTAGATTTTCCTAAATAGACGATATATTTATTCATTTAGTGCTCAACATCGCCACGTCAAATTCTACTTTCGTTTTTCCATCACAACAATACTCGAAATTCTTGCTGTCAATCTAAAAGAGTAATTACACAAAAAAAAAAACTCATATTCACAATCGGAATGTCTGAAAGTTCTAACAATTTGTCATATCTTATCCATGAATAAATGCACATTTGAATGAGAATACTTTCTGTCACACATTACCATAGTGTCAGAATACTTTAATGGACTATCGTTGCTTCCTTTTATACGCCATGGATAATTCATCAACAAATATTTATATGTGGGATGATGAAGACAGTATGCATCAGCTCGTATGACAAGTGGGCGAAGTCGGAAAAAATATGATGACTCAAACGAAGTCAATAAAAACCCGATTTTATCATGTACATCCTCGCATACTGAATTACGCAATTCGTATAGCAACCAGTTAGTAATAAAGATATTGTTATTTAACATGTCCACTTCAGACACCCACGTTTTTTTCTCTTCATTCTCTTCATGTCAAGGACATTATCCAATATTCTACTAAAGTTAACAATGAGGATGTGGGTGTGTGGATGTGGGTGATGCAGCTAGAGCGTGGGTGCGGGGTGTGGGCGTGGATATAGTTGCAGACTGTTTAAACCCATACCCACCGCGACCCGCATGATGTCTCCAGTTCATACCCATACCTACCCATATCCTGAGGAGAGAAGCATATGTTGTCAAAAAGTGGGACCAAACAGTTTTTGAAGCTAAACCTGAGCCTGGCATCTGGTGATATCTGATTGCAAGATTCTAGTGTATGCGTGGGTGTGAATTGACTTTCTCTGAAACTACGCTCACACCCACACTCCATCCCACGTATCACAAATGAGATACAAGCCACTATTGACTTTTACACTCCGTATGACACGAATTTAATGAAGGAGATTCAGGTTTTTTTTTATGCTGGGCATTACCTTCTCTGCAATGTATGTGTTTCTCTTGCAACGTGTTGTTCTTATCAATGCAGAGCTTATCTGTAGTGTTGAAACAAACGGAATTCAAAGCGTTATCATACTTCAAAAGTAAAGAACGGGGCATTTGAAAAAAGGTAAGCAGTATAAGAAGCAAAACAACTGTGGTGAGTAAATTATTAGAAAGATTAGAACAGCAAAAAAAGCTGTTTTGAATGTTGTATACTTAGCGTTAAGACTGAAAATACTGAAAAGGATTGAAACTCATGGTCGATTTTACTTAGTCTGATTGCTTTGTCAATCTGTATCGGTTGCAGCTAGCGCTCGTCGGCTTTTTCAGATCTCACCCATATTTATTTGATCTTTCCCTTCATTTCAATTCCGAAATGTTGTCCATATCTGATATCATTCGCAGGTATCTATTTTGTTGACTCTATTGACGAGCCACTAGAATTCATCTGCTCAAGTGGACCTATGTATTCATTCGAGATTTATTTACTATGACGATAATTCAACAAAACTTACTGTTATGTCAGAAGAGACATCTCCTGACATAAGGAGACTCCATGCTCTTATGATATCATCACTGTACATCAGTGGCATTCTTACCCTTCTTTCTCGATGGCTCTTTCATCATGGATAACGAACGATAAAGAGTGAAATAAGAGAAAGAGAGAATTACATTCTTCACTGCTTTTTTTTATTCATTCCATTGTTTTGTTTTTTAGGTGAAGAAAGAAGGATTGAAAGAATAAACAGAAAACGGTGAAAAGGACCTAACACTTACCCATACCCATACTCCACACCCCATGCTACGCCCGCAGACCCTCACCCTCACCCACACCCCACCCTAATTATCTTCTTGATTAATAAAATAAAACTATTTCTAATTCAAAAAGTGACTCATACTATAAATTGATATTGTTATTATTTTTATTTTTAGCTCGACCAGATATTATACCAGGATACTTACATCATATTGATGTTTCACGATGGATAGAATCTTTAAATACATCTGAATCGATTGGTACGTAAATAAAAATAGTAGATTGAGAACAAAAAAAATCTTTTTGTTTTTAGCTGAACATGTAAATGTTTTTGAGAAGTATCTTTGCCAATTAATTGAAAAATTAAAACAATTTGTTTGTCTTGATATTTATGGAAAAATTGATGTTGAACAATTTCTTTTTGTTTGTTGTTCTTGTTTATCTTTGTTAAATAAAATCTTCTAATATATTAATTAATTTTGATTATATATCAATCAAAGTCAACATTTATCTGATTAATAGCTATTTTTATAGTTTTATTTTAGTTTTTGAAAAATAAAATTAAGATTAGAATTAATTTCGATTTTAACCTAATCTTTGATTGTTTGAATGAAATCACAGTTTTTTTCAAATTTTATTTTTGCACACGATAGAAAATATTTCTTAAAAGTTCTTAAACAGACCTGATTTGAATGAGTCTTTTCTCTTTTGTTTTTTGAAAACTAAAAACATTCTTTTTCAATACTATACACTTAATCAGTACTCACATAAGTACTCTTAACTCAATTAGTACGTATCTAATTATTACTAGACTCTAACACGATGATTCGATCGAATCTGAACAGATTTCAACACTATGGATCCTCAGGTCAAACCATCAGATAATAGGAGTTTACAAGATCAAATGAAAATTGTAGTCTCAAAAATCTTACTCAAGATCTTACTTTCTTGTAAGATATTACTATAAGTTTATAGGAAATATTATGCAGCAGTAAGATTTTTCAAGAAACTTTTGAATACGATTTAATGTAGGGTTTCTCAATCTACGATCCCTTGTACGATTTCGTCTAATCTTACAAGATCTTACATTTAATCGTTTGGCCTGACAATATTCCTACAGGATTCTATTAGATTTTATAAAATTTCAATGGAATCTAATAATATCTGATAGGATTCTATTGTTCTATTGATTCTCGTGACTGGATCATCTAATAAATTCTAGTCAAAACTCGTGATTATGAAAAGACAAAACCTAAAAAAGAGAAATTTCGGATTTTTAAAGTACACACATAACATGAACCTATACTAACATAATTAGTTATTTAGATAAATTCTCTTTCAGAATCTTTATCAAAATATGACATAAAACAAAATGAAGTTTAAATTAATATTTATTACAAAAGTCTTTAAAGTGATAGTTGTGATGAAATAGTTTGTTAAAAAATAATTTTTTTCTCGTAACTACTAATATGTATATATATAAAACAAAACTTCAATAATAATAATTTATATGAAACAATCAGATCACATATATATATATATTTATATTTATATGCGATTACCTCATATAGATTTTTTTCTACTTTTTTTTTTCGATAAAAAGATAGATAATGACATAGATATTAAATATGGTTATTCAATGTTTTGTTTATATTTAATCATTTATATTATTTTCAACAATATCTTCATAACAAATATCATCATTAAATGAAAGATGTATTAAATGAAAATAAAAACTAAATAGGACTTTATTTTATTATTTATTTTAAAAATCTAAATAATAACTTAGTTAAGGAATGATGATATTGTTGATGAAATATATATGATATATTTAAATTAATATATAATTAAATTTTTTCTAATTTTATTACTATATTAAGTTGATTTACTAAGATTATGATTTAATATATTAATTTGATTCCTTGAATATTGATTTAAATCTTTTAGTTTTTATATATTGATTTTCATTTGATACTGAAATAACATTCTTTGTTTTCGCAATTATGTAATATATTCAGAGTTCAAGTGATAATATGATATTGATTTTATTTTTAAATTATCTATTAAACAAAAAAATATTTTTATATTTAAAAAACTATTTTAATAATTAATTTCCCATGTGTTTCTTATATTTTTTTTATCATTTTCAAGATATGTCATTGAATTTATTTAATAAATGTTTTAATCAAATATTTCTATTCTTGATTGCATAAATTGAATATTATATTTGATAATAATTCAAATGTATTTCTTATAACAAACATTATTATCTTTATTTGTTTCATCGCCAACAACTAGATTTGTATGTTCAATATCAGTAAAATGGAGAATTGTTGATAAACAAAATTTTTAAAACAAAATTCTCTTTAATTTAATCCAAATGTATTTTAATAGACTTGAAAGTCATTTTGGTGCTAATATGTTTGAATTAATAGATTTTGAATGGTGTTTTAAATAGAAATGAAATTTGAAATTGATTAAAAAGAAATAATACATTGATAAATTATTAGTTGAAATTGTTGTTTGTGTTATATTTGATTAATTTATCATAATTCTTAGAAATTTCTATGATGTAAATGTTCAATTATTATAAAAACGTAATTTTTTATTTTTCAAATATATATTATCATTGTCAAATGGTTTTGTATCAATTTGTGTTTTTGATGATGAAAAATATTATAATAAAAAACAATAAATTAAATAAAGCAGAATTAACATTTGATGTTTGGAAGACAATCATATATGGGTGTGGGTGTGGGTGTGGGTATATGTTGCATTTACATCCACACCACCAAAAACTAAAAAATTTGGTCATATCATAAAACATCAAATAAAATTGAAAGATCGATCAATCAATTTGTTTGAGAAAATCTTTCGTTTTCTATTATATATTTTAAATTTATCCATCAGAAAAATCAAAATTCTATTTTATTCTGTTCTTATGATTTCTTTTTTAGTTAATAATAATATTATTCAGAATTGAGATTAATTTCATCATTGTTGTGGTCGGACAAAACTGATAGATTTAGTACGTTGTATGAAGTAAACTGAAACGTGACAAAACTTTTACAAAATTAGAGAAAAATTTTTATCTTATATCTTTTTAAGCATACCTTTGCCGGCAAATGAACCGTGGTTGATTGTGAAGATTAAGAAATTGCACGTTTGTCATTTTCAATAATAGAAATTATGGATTTTTAATTCTTGCAAAATCTGCAAATTTTCTTTGTTCAATGATGAAGGTACTTTCACTTTATTTGATAGATTATTAGTAGTGCCTTTCCATAGCCACCTAATGTGTAATTCTACTAAAGGATTTCTTTATTTAAAGATTAATTAGAATTAGTTCTGGACAACTAACATAACTTGAATAGTTTTAGTTCAGAAAGTAAAATTATTAAATGAAGAATAATGATATGAACGACAATTTAACCAATTTCACAAATATTATTTTGTTTTGCAGCTTCATATATTTTTTCATAAATTGTTTCTTCCAGAATCGGATTGTTCCTTATGGTAAGATTTTTTAATGTTTGATTGACATCAAGAAAAGTAAGAATTGTTTGTAAACTTGATTTTGTTATTTGATTTCCACGAAGTGACAAATACAATAAGGTGGGAGGAATGGAAGAAAGAAGACTTGCACAACCACGATCACTAATAGAATTTTGACTTAACTCTAGATTCTCGAGACTACATGCCGGTAAATATTTGGCTAAATGTATTGCTCCATCATCATCAATTTCACAATCATGTAAATCGATTTGTTCAAGGATTGAATTGTTTTGTATGAATCGTCCAATATAATCCATATCTTGACTGTTAAGTGTATTCTCGCAAATGATGACATTTTTCAGTGTCCTATTTTTAGAAAGGCCATTGAGAAAACTTGTCCGTGCTTCCTCGTTCATTTGATTTCGTTTAAAAGATATTTCAACAATGTTAATTGTAGAAGACAGAATATCAGTGAAATAACGATAACCAACGGACGATATATCTCTGTTGTAACTGAGGTCCAGTGACCAATTTCGATTGGGCATTTTCTTTAATTCATAATGTAATCCAAGTACATCATCATCTTCTAGTGATCTATATAAAAAACTGATATAATCATTTGTCGAGTCTGCTATTGCAATTGTAACCTTATCATTTATTCCCAAGTTCAAAATACACTGATTTGCATCTGTAATTTTGACCATTTTCTCGGCGAATTCAAGGACATTTATTTCGGTTGAACAATTGCTGCGTATACGGTTTTCTCTAAGAGAAATGTGTTTTAAAATAGGAGAGTCATTGATAAAAGCAAGTAGAGAAGGTAGACTTTTTTCAGTGATTTGATTGTTGTTCATGATTAATTGCGATAATGAGTTGGGTAATGAAGACAGAAATGCTTCAAAACCAATATCACAAATTTGACTTTGATTGATTGTAAGACTACGTAGAACAGTATTGTTCTTTAAAGCTTGACTCAACATTATGGCTTCTTTATCGTTTATATTTGAACTGTCAGGCAGAGCCAACCGAATAAAATTGATTTTGCTCGTCAGAAGATCTACAAACTCATTAAAAACGTTTGAATCGATTTTGAAATGAAGTTCAAGATCGGTGATGGAATTGTTTTATTTTAGATATTAAAATAAGTCACGTTGAATTGATAGATCCAAAAGATTATCAGTACCAGTAATTATTAAACTTTTCAATTGAAACTGATTATCCAATAGAGTTCTAACGTAGGTCAATTGCTTTTGATCGACTTCGTTTTTAAAAATCAAATGCATCGCACGACAAATTGTATCATTTTTGTTAATGCCATCAACAATTCTGACCAATTACTGTCGGACATATACTGCAGATCCAAGAGAGAAGGTTCTTCATTGCGTAAGGAACTGGCTTGCCAATCATTATTATTGAGAATTTTAACTCTTGATAAGGTTGACAATTGTTGTACTTGGAAGTATTGATTTTCCAGATCACTATCGAGAATCAAGGGTGTGGGTGTGGGTGTGGGTGTGGGTGTGGGTGGGTGTGGGTGTGGGTGTGGGTGTGGCTGTGGGTGGGGGTGGGTGTGCGTGTGTGTGTGCGGGC